CGATATGCGCTGAATCCTCACTGACACGCCAACTCGTGTGCTCGTCGATCATGACCGATCTCACCTCCTTGACCTCGATCTCGACCTTGAACTCAGAGGAGAAGGAGGGGTCTTTGCATGCTATGGGATGCTGTCTCTAGACGGATGGGTCCGACGATGAAAACTCAAGTACTCAAGAGTGGCAGTGGGAAGGCCGACGGCAAAGGATGTGGAGCGGGAAGTGGGTGATGGTGACCAGTTAGGCTGAGTTGTGGACAGTTTACAGATAAGTATACATATTCCAAGGTATCGTCGGTATACGTACGTACGTCTTACTTACACGTAATGTATTCCAGTACATACAGTACATAACACACATATAGTAATTATCACATTGACAAAATACAGATCAATGCGGTTATACTATGTATAACTACAATTTTAAATCTCTAACATCGCGGGTGGTGTAAATGGACGGGAGATGGACAGCGAGTACAGTAGTGCACAATTGTGTGCTGTGAGGCGTCTACGTCTATGCCAGGGGAAATGGGGGATTGATACGAGATGGAGATGAGATGTTCAGCGATAGTGCGGAATTAGGAGACTAACCAAGCCCATACCAAAATGACTGCCCACCGCACCAAACCGCACCGCGTCAGTGCTTCATCAGCATATGCCCTCGTCGGAGGACCAATGCAGATTCAGACTACCGCATATACTCATACTTAGGAATGTACCCATTTCCTTCCCTCCCCACTGCCGCCAAAGAAGAGTTCAAAAGTGGAACTTCCGGCGGACTTCCGGCGCGTTCTACAAACTACCGACTGAGTCCAAGGTAAGGCGGAGAAGAGAATTGAACTCGAACGGACGAGTCCTCTCGACCAATCCAATCCAAAAAACCGCATCACGGTCAGACGACCAGAAATGCAGCCGGCGCACCACAAGTTCCTGGCCGCCGAAATGAGGCTTAGAAATCACCATACCCATAACTCTAGAACCCAGGAGCCAGCGCGAGCTCAGTGACGAAATAGAACAATAGATATCCTAGTTCTGGCGCTATGGTGTCTTGTTTAGGCAGCACCAGTAGGACTAGGGTAGAAAGGGTCACGCTACGCCACTGAAGCAGGGCACGGGTAAAAGTCCGAGACCTGTCCGCGCTTGTCCGCGCTGTCCGCGATGTCTTGGCACTCTGCGGACAATGTGCGTGGCTGTGATCAGGCCTTTGTCCGTGGTAGATAGTGTGACATAATGGTCACATTACCCAAATATATAGAATAGCTAATTGTGAACGTACCCCCTTCCACACCAACCAAATTCCTTTAATTTGCGCATTTATGTATTTTATGAGTCGTAATAATTACATAGAGACCAAAAAATTATATTGCACGACAGTTGTAGGCTGACCAAGACAGTTTGAATACCCCGGCTGGCTGTTTATGATTGTCCCACGGCTGAACAGGCGCATCCTGCATTGCAATTCAGCGCCTCTATCTTCGAGTTTGCTATCCAACGGCAATGTCCCTTAAGAAATAAGAGTACATACTGTATATTAATTTATATATTCTGCTTCAGCTTGACACATCCTCTGTTTATTGGCTGGACGCAAGGCAAATCTTCGAAAATTGCTAGATGCATAACATTTGCGTACATGAAAGATGTCGTCAAAGGTGAGTGCCCAATTCATGCACAGTCGCTTAGGTAGCCAAGAGTAGCGTTCCAATGTGTTATATAGAACCTATATAAGCAATAAAAATTACATATATCACGCTACCCATAAGTTGTGACAGTCCACGCACATTCCGCGCACAGTCTTTTGTGCGAGAGGCTTGGCGCGCGCACATGCGCAGTCACTCCTCGCACTGTCCGCGCACGCCTCGCACATGCTGCGCACACACCTCGCACACCTCGCACCATGCCCGGACACACCACGGACAGTCTCAGCTTCCCCACGCACATTCCATGTACACTAGTCGCGCACGTCTCGCACATATTGGGATTAAGGATTAGGTATTTGAAAAGCCACCGCCGAAGGAGGTGGAAGACAGTACAGGGCTTTCTAGGGACGACGTATGTAGTGGTAGAAAGACAAGGAACCCCAAAGGGAGGAATTGCCCCTAAAGGGGCGTTCTACGCACGTGATCGTGACCTGACGGTGCCGACCTTACAGTATTATAACTAGATCTATGTAAAATGCTCAATGGTTGCTCAACGGAGGCAGATTTGAACGGGTCTATGTTGAGTCGAGGGTCAGTGGAGATCACCAAGATGGATGAGATGTTTATCAAGGCCACCCATCGCACTGGAATCGTGAGGATAGAGTTGCGACTGAGGGGGAACTTGAGGTAAGACACAAGCACTGCGCAAGAATCTTCGCAACTGACTACAGCGTTTGATCGCGGACAGCGCGGGGCCGGTTTTATTCAAGTCAATATATCGACACCTGTAATCCTTGCAAGTTCCGAAAGGCTTAACCCTCGTCCTTGGCCGCGTCCCAAAGGAAAAAAAGAGTAGTATTTGAAAGTAAGCTTCGACATTTCAAGGACATTCAAGACGACACTACAACAGCAGTTATATCAGAAACCTTAAACACTACTCATAATCATGCACAGAACATTCCCTCATCGTGAAATATGTTCAAGTACATAGTATATATATATATGATCTGCAGAAAATTGTTTACGAGTGACTACACACAAGTCCCTGCTATAATCTTATTATACAGTTCAGATAAGCGCTCATGATGATACATAAGGGCCGGTCTCGGCTAACAAGTTTTGCGAGTGAACCACACACTGCTTCCCTCCACGCTCGTACCTCGGACACACCGCGGACACACCTTCGAGACACCTCGCACATAAGACTGTCCGTGGTAGCAATAACCGCGCACACGCCACGGTCGGCCACGCACATCACGGACAAATGCACGGACTTTTCCTGATGCCCACTGAAGCTGAGCTGAGCTGAGTTGAACTGGACTATGTTGCAACGATGGGGGATGAAAGGAAGCGATGAAAATTTGGGAAATCAGATTGAGACTAGGGTGTAGCGGAGGGGAGAAAAATTCAACAAAAGAGTGCGAGGAAGGGCGAGCGAACAATTGAGACATAAGTATGTGAAGGCGGAAGAGGAAAGGGAGTCGGAGAATCTAAAAACGATGTACGATCCGAGTTGTAATGACAACAGATGGTTGATGGTCAGCAGTTAGTCGATGATGAGTAGATATCGTCTAGAGAGCATGGAATATACCTACACATCGAGTTGCTGTCCCGGAAGCCATTGAAGAGGACAGAACAACAGAAACAAGTTCAATGATACATTCAAATATATAAATAACAAGTGCAGATAGTCTGTGAAAATAGATAGCGACACTTGCAACATCTAGACTTCCTGCTTATTTTTCTTCATCAAGTTTGATGCTATAATTCGAGGTTGGAATTGTCAGATTAAATATCTCCGGAGAATATTTCTGCAAGTACCTTGAGCTTGGTCATCTTCAATGGATAGACTTCTGGTGGTATCCTCTAAGCCTTGGAGGACAACAGGTATCTGAGCGTCTGTTCCAGTACAAGCTGCGGATTGTGGTCTAAATTGAATTCCAGTCAAATGTTCTGATATCGGAGCATTGCTTTCATCAGAAAGTGTAGCAACCCGTGCAACCATGATAGTGGTTGATATTCCCTGTATCAATAATAAGTATGCAAAATAGTGCAAGTTGGTCCACATACCGTGATAGGAAATAGCATGACACCTGCCCAGTAGTAGAAACTCATTAGTTGTGTGCTGGGAGTGGGACTCCGAGTCATTAATATAGTCATCACACTGAAAATAAGTAATGACAATGAGGATACTATTCCCGATTGTAATACGAGATTGGTGATATGCTGAAATTTTGTGGATGACATGTTCTGATGCTTCATGAATAGGTGTATCCTGTACGCGATTTGAACTGTGGCAATAGCAATGGTGCATCCCGATATTAAAGTTCCAGCCATTATTACCAAGTCCAATTTGACTTGAAGAGAGACAGCTCTTAGTGGCACGATTGCACTTCCAATTGTTTGGGTTAACATCAGTGCTTGAAAATATTCCAATAAAACATTAAGATTGGGATACCAAATTAGTTGTGGATGATACACACCTGCTTCCACAAAAGTCAGGAATACCAGAATTGATATGGCATAAACAGAACGGTTCCACAGATTGAAACATCGCCAGATCTATCATTTGTCGATATTAGTGGCATCAGTTCACATTGTGGTAGATACGTACAAGTAAACCATCACTGAGCACCAGTGACACAACAGCCAAAACATCCATTGCAATGCGCAGGGCTAATGCGTCTATGCCGGCAGTGAGATAAACAGCCACAAAGATTGTGTCCCTAGATATCCCATTGTCGATGAACTGGAATTTAGTGGAGTACCACTGGATGGCAAGGGCTGCTATGTTGGTGATATACAAGACGGATATGGTGACTACAACAGCATAGTGTTTGGACCGCTGTTTTATCACTATATGGATCCATTGACCTGATTTCCGAGACAAAAACAAAAGAAAGACATACCATAGGCATACATAGTTCCTCCAAAGATGACAGTATAAATTCCTATAATACATGTGTTGCCTCATACTGAGACCAAAAAAAATTATCATAGTCTGCACGGCACGCACCCTTTAAGAAAGCTTGAAATATAATAACATGAAGACTTGTTGCAATGAGTAATTTTTCATCATGGACAGTGAAGCCGGCTTGCAATATCGCTTGGTGGAGCATCGTTGAATTGGAATCGGACATACTAAGAAGTGGCGAGTTTGAGAGAAACGATGCTAGATTGAGAGTGAATTTATATATCAAGACCTGTAAGGATGTGAAATTCTAATGTATCTAGACAGCTGTCGAGGTTGAATTCCATCGGAAGTCAGTAGGATGGGAAAAAAGGAAGTAATTGAGATGAAATTGTAGAGAAGTGATATGTGTCGCATGAAATTGTAAAGAAGTGATATGCGTCGCATCGGGAAAATAGAGTTACTGGGAATCGAACCCAGGACCTTTAGCCTACGTTGCTTGGTGCTCTACGTCCACTGAGCTATAACCTTCCATTCCAGAGGGTAGGCACTCCCACAGAATGATGATTATGCATGTATGCGACTAAATAAGTAACATTTAATTCTTGGCAGTGCAGAAATAAATGATGATATCAAGTCTGTCAACGAGCTTCAGCAATGCAATGCATAGACTGCACACCACTGTACGCCCAAAAAGTCCCAAGAAGCACCACGACCTCTGATGCGAAGAGCAGATGGCACTGGACAGTGTTCCCAAAGCATAACCTGCAGTGTTGGACGTGATATCGAGACCCAGAATATAAATAAGCGCTCTATCGGTTGCTTTCGTGCCGATATTTTTGAGCCTGCTGACACAGTCGCACTTATACATAATCTATCTATGATGTAGAGCACAGGCTTAATAGCTGTGCAGAATGGAGTAGAGCGGATGTGGTCTGGTACAAAATTAACACATCTATTTACTGAGCATTGGTGAGCCGAGATTGACGAGGAGGGGGTGTCCTGCATCCAACATGAATCTGCAGGTACCAGAAACATGGTCACTGAGGAGAGCATTATGTGCTTTTCTCCTTACTTCTGACATTACACTTTCGTTCGATCGCATTGATCCATGTCAGCGCCAAGCGTCATTTTATCTTTGCATTATGCTGCGACGCGATCAGCCTTCTCCACTCTGTTTTGTTCTTAAGGTGTTGATGTGATGGATGTGGGGTTGGAGGTGCGTCTACATTGTGAGTTATCGATGCAAACCAGTTTTCCATCATTCAGAGATAATAATTTTACAGAGCAGAAGTTACCCAGTAGTTGAATTCCTAGATGCGACAGCTACAGTCGTAAGTTTCTTCGAATAATGCTACTCTTCCCTTGACTTGTTCATTTGATTCGCCGTTGATGAATATGCACATCATCCGGGAGTCCTCGTCTCAGAAGAGGGTGAGCTAGCATTCAATCACATCCGTGTATCGAGAATGCATGCATAGCCTAATGAGGGTGTGGAGTGAAGGAGGGCCTAGGGTTCGGGAGGGTCGCCTGGAAGAGGAGGATAGAATGAGAAGCGATGAAACTAGTTGAATTTGATGAGAGTGGATCCGCTGCAGCATAAAATGATAGAAAGGTGGCTGGTGAAACATGGAGCATACAAATATATTTGATCTCTTCTAGGTTTAGTCGCTCGCATTTAAAAATATATGATTTTTGAAATTATGGCTCGCTTGACAAAGTCGAGATGAATTGTATGATAGTGTCTGGTCGGAACGATAAACCGGGGATAATTTTAGCAATATACACATCAACGAGATCGAGCGAACACAAGACGTCAAGCAATGAGTCAGGCTAGAGCTTCAAACACGACACTGAGATCCGTCGACCACATTGATCACCCCCATCAAATCTGATGTCAACGACACGACCAGTAGAATCACATCTTATAGTCATAGTCCATTTTTCGAAGCGTAATGAGATTCTCGTTTTTGACGTGGCACTGTGCTTTTGCATGGGTGTCGGGGCCACCGATGTACAGACACGCATACATGCGCACTTGGGCCGAGTCCGGGGTGAAGGGAGGATGGTGGTAATAACATAGAGGGAGAGGAGGGGTGGGCGTGAAGAGAGTGCACCTGTAAAGCAGGAATAGGGCGTCAATGGATTGATCATAAGATCGGATGGGTTGATATTTGAGATACACACCGAATGGGTGTCGCTTTGTGCAGGAAAAGAGCATCCGTTGTTATTTTGTCTCTCGTCCGTATTGTTTCCCCGAACTCTACGCACATTTTATTGAAGGTTTGCGTACGAATTGGCTCGTAGGATCCTTAACGTGATATCTTTGAACGCATATACACGGGCGCGGCCTGTTGAAATTAATCAGACCCGATGTAAAAAATGTAAAATATAAAAGATGAAGTGATAAACCGAGACTTTGGAACACTAATCTGCATCGATAACAAGAGATAAAATCAGAATGTATGAGATCGACGGCATAAACGACGTGCCTCCTCGTCCGCGCAGTGATGCAGGTTTCGTCATGTTGCATACCAGCACCGAATTCATTGACCTCAATACATAGATAGCGAACTCGATGATGAGTGCCGGTAAAGGAATGGCGTAGACAGCGAGAGTTGCTGCGCGGAAAGGATCGACGGTGATGCTGTATCGCTGATAATGATAACCTGTTCTTTGGTAGGACGAGGGTACAACCGAGTCACTCTGTGCGTAATACATGTTGAGCCGAGCATCGTGGAATAGGATACCTAGACCCGATGACATCCCAGCACCCATTAAGCCTATCGCGCATGTGCAAGGCGTTTGACGTGTGGATGAGCCAGACGATGACGCTGAGCTAATACCAGCGGATCGAGTCGAACGGCGTGGAGGGTGTAGGTTAAATTGAAGAAGCCTGAGGTGGGCCAGGAGACATGCACGTGAGGCTTCAAGCCGGAGAGAAAAAGGAAGCGGGGAGATGAAGATTATTAGAAGGTATTTTGATACACGCACATTCAAAGGTTCCAACACCCAGACTTTGTATTGTTGGGAATATTCTCGGACATTGCCGACGCGCAGCCCGAATGACTCAAGCGCTTAGCTGGGCGCTTCACACGCCTTCTAGTCTTTACTTTCTATTGACTCATTGTTACACAGCTTTACTTTCACTTCCTTACTTAGTATTTTGTAGCACTCAGTAGTATATTCTAGATAGTATTGTACACTATATAAGAAGCTCCTACAGAGCTAGAAATACAAGAAGAATATCTCCCCTATTTTATAACAGGTTATGGGCCCCGGCACCTCAGTAGAAAGTCTCACCAATTTTACTGTCTAATCGCGCACTCTTATCTTAACTCGCACGCTGCACTATGCATCGAACGTCTATGGTGCAAACGGCCTAGTCACCACCACTTTTTGCCAGTGGCCAAATTGGCTGGCAAAATTTTTGAAATTATATACCCTCAAAATGCCAAATTTTCAGCATAAAAGATTACTCTGGAGTTCCACAGAAGCTATTATTTTGGGCAACAAGCTTGATTCGGGCGCAAAGGATGTCCTGCGTGGGGGTTTTGTACAGAATTGCGCCAGCAGGGATGATCTTGGCGTCCGAAAATAACATAATTATGTAATATTATCTGTCTATATATGGTTAATATTATATAAGCTGGCCAAATTTGGGGAAATCTTCAAAAATAAATCGCTCAGTTTTGGTCCAAATCAAAAACCGTTTGGAGGTTTTGTTTCTAAAACCAAAAGAAGCGTTTTTACCAGAGGAATAAGAAAAATAGGTTTTTTTGGACCATGAATTTCCTTTGGTCAAAAGTAGTGGTGACTAGGCCGTTTGCACCATACATCACCAGTCTTTATCTCACCAGCAATTCCCTCGTTACCCCCGATGGAAATCGACATCGATCATTCTCGCCCACCACACCCTATGTGAATAATCTCACGGACGATTCCACACTTACGAAACAACAACGACGAAAGCAGCAATTGGCGCCGCATCGTATATGTTATCTTTGCCGAAGGCCTGGTCACTTCGCGAAGGAATGCACACCATCTTTGTGATACCGTGCAAATATCGAACTTACCCGATTTGGAGGTCGAGGAGCTCCCTCCGATCAAGAAAGCTATTTTTGGATAATTCCCCGAGCCATCAGCGATGTAGAAGAACTACGAGAAGGGAATTTGCAGATGCTTTGTGTCCTGCAAAATTGGAGAAATCACAGATTCTTAGTGCCTGTGAATTGATTTTGGGTAGATGCTGTGTGCCTACCATATGGCATGGATTTTTGGGTAGATGCTTCGTGCCTACCATATTGGATTAACCTTCCGGAATGCCCGAGTAAGGGGGAATGTTAGGAATATTCTCGGACATTCCCGACGCGCAGCTCGAATGACTCAAGCTCTTAGCTGGGCACTTCGCGCGCCTACTAGTATTTACTTTCTATTGACTCATCGACACAGCTTTACTTTCACTTCCTTACTTAGTATTTCGTAGCACTTAGTAGTATATTCTAGATAGTATTATAAACTGTATATAAGAAGCTTCTACAGCGCTAGGAATACAACAGAATATCTATCCTATTTTACAGCAGTTTTTTCGCGTGCAATGGAAGCTAGCTGCTTGTAATCTGTTCGAACAAAATACGATGTTAAAAGGACAGGATTCGCGATACCCGCTCAAGGCGCGTGATGCGAGATACACGACCTTCCAGTCGTCTTCGCAGAAGGAGAGAATGGAAATTTAGCATACATCTCCTGAATGAAAAATTTATGCTCCGTAACTCCGATTTTTGTCCATTTCCCAGGGAGCTTCATGGTGGAGTGATTGTCGATTTCAATCAGCACAGCGTGAGCATGGCTGCGAATCACCTTCGCAGTGTTAGCAGATATGGTGGTGCCATCTTCGCATTCGACGTAGTCCATCGAGATGTTCTCCTTGTCGTCATCCTCATCATCGTCATTGCTACTGGTCTTCTCGGTGTCCTTCTTGCCCTTTCTTTGTCTTCTTGGGAAGAGCTGGGTTACAAACACCATCCGAGTCTGATTAGCTGCATGTTGCGGATAGGTTTACACCAGCCATCGCCAACAATTGATATGGTACTCAATCTCCAAGTCGTCCCTTGTCCCACAGAAGGAAACGGATCCGAGAGAATTGATATCAGATGGACAGGAGAGAAACATGCGATGCGTGCTGAATGGGCAGCATTTCGTCGACCACTAATTATATCACCGGAGCACTGAATAAACAAAACATACTACTGCGCCGAGCTTCCTTGAGCTGAGCTGCCCTGCGCTGAGCTGCCCTGCGCATGAACATGTCACCTCTACATAACTCAAAGCTCAGTGTCACGCTGAGCTGTCAATCAGACAAGCACTCTATCGTACTACGCACCATTGGACGCAGCAAGAGCCCTGACGAAGAGTGTGTCGAGATGCGCACTTGAGCGTGAACTGGACCTGATCTGGGACAATGGGAGAAGGGCGGAGAGGGAGAGGATGGTGGGCGTAAAGAGAGTGCATCTGCAGGGCAGGAATAAGTG